ATTGATCCTTAGGTCTCAGGATTCATCTCCTTAAATCCTCTCCAAAGCAATGGCCATGAGCATTATCTGCATTAACATTAGTGCTCCTTTCCAGCAGTCCTTAGAGTTGTCTCTGAAACAAAATCAAATTTCAACAGATATAAGGAGCTAAGGTATCAATAGGAAGACATGTGAATAACAAAACAAATGGAACAGTAGAGAAGGCTCCACTGTTCTCTGAAACCTCTGTGGCTGGAAAGCAATCCTGTAGAATCTATTTATAAGGAGGAGCATTCAAGGTTAACACAGCACATCAACAGTTGATCTTTTTTGATTAATTTATGGTCATTAGTGTAATAAAACATCAGGTAGTCTAGTAAGAGAAACTGAATCATTGCTCAAAATTCTTCACACCTTCCTTGTTTTTAATTATATGTTGATACTTTCTGCACATGACTTTGTGGTACCTTCCACTAGACTGGCTACAATATTACAACCCACCCCACAGTGGTTTGCCGGTACCAAGGGAATGTGATCAAAAGTGACAACGTGTGAGATGTGCAATAAAGTCTCAGGAGGATATTAAATGGTTCCATGTTTTCTTTTGCACGCCTATCACTTTCCTAGAGAATGATGCTCCCAGGCCAAGGAGAACAAGTCCTGGAACGGACTTGGTTTTAAGTAGAAGATTTGAGCTACTTCCAGCCATTTCACACACTGGAACTGATCCACCCCAACCTATCTACAGATCTCTGAGTATAAAATTTAAGTATTGCTTCTTATAAGTTACCAAGTTCTGGTATGGCTTGTTAAAACCATTACTTAGGCAACAGCAGGCAAATGTAGCTATTGTGAAGTCATTAAAAATCATATTTTTGAAGATTTTCTTTCTGATTTGAAACAAAGGCCATTTAATGCTTAATTGGAATTATGTAATAATTATGCAATTAAAAGATAATTTCTGAAAAAAATTGGGAATTTAAAAACTCAGGATCAAAATTTACTCTCAAAATAATATTAAAATATACTTATATGCATATGTATTACTCAAAGAGTAGAGTAAAACATACCACTATATTAATAATGACACTTTCAAGTTAGCATAATTATGCTCAATTTTATTGACTTATATTTGCCTGCTGTGAAATAAGTGCTTGATTAATGTTGGGTAAATAGTTAAATTAACAAATTTCCTTTTATCCTAAAGTTTTGACAATACAGATATATTACTTTAACAATCATAAAAATCAATATTTATGTTTTTATAATTGGAGATCCATGACTTACAATGTTGGTAATACCCACTAAAGACAATTCTTTATGAAGTTTCCAACAGAGGCAAATACTCCTAAAAAAGGAATAATCAAAAGATTGGTTTATTGAAAAGTATTTGAGGTAGACAAAATAGCAGTCCTACTGAAGTCAAGATTCATTATATCAAATGCTCCATCCAAAATCCTCAGGAATTCCATTCTAGTGAAAAAGCACCTTAGGGTTAAAAAAGTTCTTCACAGAGGAAAGAAACTAAGTATTTTGAAAGGATCATGGTCAAGAAAAGGTGGAAGGTGAAAGAATACCAAGGAAGATCTAGGATTGAAGGGGAAAAGAAAGGGGAAAGCATATATACAAAGAAATAATGCTGCTCAGTGCCACCCTGAAGATACATCTCTTGACCATCACACCATCTTCACCAATCTCCATTTAAAGAAAATCCAAGGGACGAACCCCAAATTAGGTAGAGTGGCTCCTTTGAAGCTGTGAGATCATTCCCCAGGTAGTAGAATTATACACTATTCTACATTCCTCAGTTAGATTTTGGTCACCTGGTTTGCAATCAATTTTCCTTTGGCCAAGACTCTCACTTATCATAGTTCAAAAGGAGAGAGCTCCCAAGCTGAATGTGGTTCTTACAGAGACCCTGAGGCCCTGTCTTCCCCCTCTACTAGATGCCACTTATGTAAGTAGCTACCAAGCTTCAGCCACCTTCAGTTGGTGGGAGTCAGGGGGCCACAGCCCTCAGGCAAACCATTCTGAATAAACACCATTCTGGGAGGAAAGAACCCATTAAAACACAGACATTGTTGTTGCATCAGGAAGAAAGGATGTAGGGGGTTAATCAGGGGAAATTGTGAAGAAAGAGGAGAGAACAGAAAAAAGAGGGAGAGATACAGGTAACAGGGGAAGGGTAAAGGAAAAGGGAGTGTGCAGAAGCAACAGGGTATCACTCACTGAGAGCTCCTCTCAGTAAGGCGATCTCAAGGTCACCCGATGCTTTCCAATGGCAACAGTGCCTACCCTGAACATGGAGGCCTGCTCCTTTTCTGTGTTGGACATTGTGGATGCATTATGGGTGGCTTGAAATCCAGAGAAGGAGACATACAAGGGAAGCACAGGTCATACAGGTCCAGGTTTAAGGCTGGAGTGGGTGTGTGTGTGTGTGTGTGTGTGTGTGTGTGGTCATGGGCGAAGTAAGGTATTGTGGATGCATTATGGGTGGCTTGAAATCCAGAGAAGGAGACATACAAGGGAAGCACAGGTCATACAGGTCCAGGTTTAAGGCTGGAGTGGGTGTGTGTGTGTGTGTGTGTGTGTGTGTGTGGTCATGGGCACAAAGTAAGGTACATTGTGGCTCTGGATGAATTGTGATAGGGATAAATTCGTCTTCTCAGTCCTAAACTGTACCAGTTTCACATTTGTTTCTCCCCCAACCCCATGGAAACTCAGAGCTCCCTTTTACCATTAGGAACTGACTGTAGACAAGAGAATGTAGAAGATCTTGACTATTTTTCAGAATCCTGAATTTACTCCAAATAGACAGCTGTTTATTTCTCTTATTTATCCATTCAAAGTCCTAAAGTAGAAAATATATAGGGCTGGATGATAAAAAGAACCAACTCCAATTTTCCTGTCTCTTTTTCCTCTCTAATGCACCTGATCCAACTTCCAAGGCCTTCCATTTTAAGCAATGGCAAAGTAGAACAGAAAATCTGATGTAACAGGTTAAAAAATTCCTACCTGCAGTATTTCTTAAACTTGTGAGTATAGTAAGTTATTTCATCTTGGTTTAACAATCTAAAAATATTATCAATACCACAAACTTTGTAAGCTTGTTTTAAAAACTAAATGAGAGAATAGTATCTCTATGTATTAAATATTAACAAAGGTATAGGCCATATGCTAGGGATTTTTATACATTAATTTAATCTTACTTAAACCAGACAACAATCCTGGAGAGATTTACTTTATAGACCAAAAAACTGAGGCTCAGAGGGGTTAAAAATATACCAAGATCACTTTAATAGAGAATGATGCAATTGAGTCAAGTCTAATTCTGTCGGTCCCCAAGCTCATACTTCTTAATATAAGGACCAAATTACACACAGCACATAGCACATACTCAGTAAGTGTGAATTCTCTTAGCTGGGAATTTCAGTGGCTTTGATGCCCTCAGTACAACCTTACAACCTCCCTCCAGGTGCCTTTCTGTGGCGCTGTCTTTTGATCAGGAATCTGTGATGTTCAGACCACTTCATTAAGTATCTCTTTTTAAACAGATGTGTTGATAATGTAAGGTTTGGATAATGAGATTTTCCAGGCCATAAGCTGCTAACTGTGTATTAATTGCTTGGCTTATTTGCAATAAATAAAGGGACTATTACACGTAAAAAATCTCAAGGACCAGTGAGCTTGTTTGAAGAATTCTGAACAGCACTATCCAACGTCTCACTATCAGATATGCAGGGTGAAACAGCCCAAAGGCACAAAGCAATACTATACCCTGCGATTGCTTTAGAATCGAGAGCTTTGGTCTAAGATTCAGAGTACTGAGTTATAAGTCCCACTGAGGCTACTTACCATATGTGTGGCTTTGGGCAAGTTACAAAAACCCCCTGAATTCAGGTCTCTCTTTGTAAATTATCAGCCCTGAAATAAATGACTTGCAGGGCCCTGCCTAAATCTAGTATTCAATGATTCTCTATCAGCTGATTATTGGCAAGACCAGGATTTTGTGATCTAGTGACATCTTGAGGTAATTCTGTGGTCACAAAATGTCTTCTGAATATGTGTCTTGGGCCCGTAATAAGTAGCATTGTGACTTATTAGTGATTTATGGCCTAGAAAATCTCATTATCCAAACCTTACATTATCAACACATCTGTTTAAAAAGAGATACTTAATGAAGTGGTCTGAACATCATATTGGGCCCTGAAAATCTCATTATCCAAACCTTACATTATCAACACATCTGTTTAAAAAGAGATACTTAATGAAGTGGTCTGAACATCACAGATTCCTGATCAAAAGACAGAGCCACAGAAAGGCACCTGGAGGGAGGTTGTAAGGTTGTACTGAGGGCATCAAAGCCACTGAAATTCCCAGCTAAGAGAATACATGCACACACTTACTGAGTATGTGCTATATGCTGTGTGTAATTTGGTCCTTAAGTTAAGGATTTGTTTTTGAGATATGTGATTTAGCCACACTCAATCTAGAGCTATTTTTGAGATGAGAAATAAATAGGATAAGGTTGTAAATAACACAATGCTACCAATTGTGGGCCCAGGATACATATTCAGAATAGGAATTAGCAACAGTACTCACCCTCATAAAAATGCCAGTGAAACCTGCTCTTCACACATTATAGGTATAATCCATACATGCCACAGTGTCTTACAATCACTGGCCTTGATAATGCATGCCTATTACTTAAACAACATGTCTTTCTTCACAAATATCCCTAAACTTGGAAGTCACTTTTCCATTCACCAAGTGCACACCCTCTTCCATCTTTCTTCAGTGACAACTGGATGGTTAAGGAACTCAAAACCACACTAGAGGAAGAATGGTTAAAAAATTAGCAATGTTGAGCTTGAGAATGACTGACATTTCAATGGGGCAATAATAGTTGTCTTCATATAACTGAAGGTCCCTTGTAGGAAAGGGTTTAAGCTCCATCTGTTTGTGAGTCTGCAGTGACATCATAGGAAGTATCTTAGCAATGCATGCTGAGTCCTCTGTGGTTCCCAAAGTCTGAATCAAGACCAGAAGAAAGACAGTAGAAGGATATGACTACATAGGGAGCCTACTCAGTATGGTGCCCAGATGAGAAGAGAATATTGATCACAAATGATCAATATTGCGAGTGGAAAACCCAGAAAGTATCACAACTATATTCCACCTCGATGAACTTGGGCAAGTTAGCATGTTCTGGACCCCAATTCCTCAAATATAAATTAAGACTGAAAACACCTACCTTATACAGGTATAACAATAATTAAGTAAGTTCACCACTTATAAATATTTAGAACAGCACATGGAAACAAAAGAAATGTGCCATAGGGTACACACAGCAACTTAAGAATTGTGTCAAGGAGATGTACACACATCGGGTACTGACTAAAAAATTCTGGAGACGCTTTCCAAATTATAAGTACGAATCTGTAAATGATAAAAGGGGCCCTTACCCCAAGTCCCAGTAAATGTTTTCATCACCTATGCAGCTGTCAGACATGCAATGCATCATTCTCTTCTCCTACCACTACTCTCAGCAAAGTCTAGCTTTGCAGATTTCCAAGGAAGGAGGATCCATCTAACAGCGGCTGGGATGCTGGGTTGCTTGTGAAAGAAGTTTTCTTGAAGACTGAGCAACAGGACGTAGGAGACACCAAAGAAGAGAGGTCTTTTTGACTGCTAGCCTGCCACCATGGACATGGTGAGTAAGAGTCAGCCACTATTTGTATAGGGCCAGAAATGAGTCTTCAAGGGTGGAAAGAATTCAACTAAATAAATATCAGAGCAGTTACCATCCTGGACAGCTGTCACTGAGGAAGACAGAGAATGTGCCAGCCCTATCTGATGTCAGCATGGGGCCTGGGGCACCTATAAGAAAACGATATTCAAATACCAGTGGGCCACAGCAGGAAGTTTCAGACAAGGGCCGGGTGTGGAGATTAAAATCTGAAAGGCACAGGACTTTCTCTCCCTGGGGGAATAAAGAAAGGGAGCATGTTAATCCCACGGATTTTATAAGGTTTCTGATTTACTGGCCTCTTAGAAGACTCTGTTGGGGTTGTCATTTTGATGAAAATGCCTTGCTGTAAAGGTTAAACATGCTAAGAAGCATGAAATGATCTTCTCCAAGAAAGACTGCATCTACTTGGCTGGGAAATAACTGTCCAGTAGTCCACAGAAGGGAGCCTTTCAAGAGTCCTTCACACCCAAGATTCCATCCCTATGCAATTGTCACTCCCAAATCTTCTCCGTTGGACTAGGTTTATTTATCATTTGTAGCGTAAAATGGGGTAGGTGATGGAAGAGCAAGGGAGGAAAAAAATGTACACATGTGTCTTCCCTTCATATATCTTCTCTCTAAATCATCTGTCAATGTTACAAACAAAATTTACCACTTACTGGAGATTAATTGGATGCCATTAACTATAGTGCCAGGATTTCACTAGTTAGTAAATCATGGAGGCATAAACTCATATCTTCACAACATATGTATATATTGCTGTTTCTTAGAAAAATACTACCCCAGAGAACCAAAATAAGGGGCTAAAAATACCCCCTTACCTGGTTAAAATAGCCTTCTTACCTGGAGCCTTATGTAAAATTATCCTACTGACAAAATAAATAATTTTATGACCCTTTATACTCTGCCTAGTTTTAAGTTTTGTTATATGGAGTTTCTCTTCATTATTATTAAATATCTGCTGTTTCTTACCCTTAATATCCCAAGATTGGATTAAAACAGAACCTATGTTAAAATTAAGTAGATACATGCCTCACAAACTAAAGGAGATTACTGTATACATATAATATATATATATTACTGTAAGTACACACATACATGTGTGTGCCCCCCTCCACACCTCAGTATTTCTGCCAATGCTATAAAGCCCAAATGAGAGACCAGAGTAGGGCAAGATTAAAAAAATATCATTTTCTGTTCTCCAAGAAATGGATCTTTTAGTTTGATTTCAAATCTAACCACTTTTGGAAGAAAAAGGGGGACAAGATACAACTCATTTTCTCACTGAATCTATCACAAAGCTTGTTTGAGATCCTAACAATTACAACAGACCATTTTAACCCAAATTCTTCATAATCTTGGGATGGTAAGAGTCAAGTCTGGATTCCATATCCAAAACACCAGAAATATGGAGAAAAGCACACTCTGGTATGGCCTTATGGCTCACCTTCCCCCTTCATACTCTTGTCTGAATCACATCTTGAGACAGAAATTATACCCTGGTCATTTCTAAAACAGAACAAAAGATAGAAAAAATTACCAACTTTTTTTTTCCATTGGCTTCAGTGCCTATATGGTCACACTATACACCTCAACACTTCAACAAAACTTCCCAACAAGCCAATCGAATAACCACTATCCACATTCTCAGTGGTAAATATGGAAATTGAGGCACAGAGAAATGGTAAGTCACTTTGTAGTGGCTTGAAAGTAGTTACAGGCTTTAATTTTTAACTTCACATGCTTTGTGGTTACCTCAATCCTCCCAAGGATCTTTACTGGTTCAAGAGAGTTAACTGCAACAACAGGCTTCAATGGCCAAACCCTTGTTCTTCAGCGTAACTAGATCCTATTGACATCACTCTTTCCATATCTATTAGACATATGGCCAAGTTCATTCTCCATTCTTCCTGCTTTAGTTAGGGCTCTTGTATCCTACTCCTGACAGCACTAATGCAAGCGGACTATTGTGCACTGATTGGCTGGTTCTCTTCTATATTTTCCATCTAGTGGGATTATTTTTTCCTGCCTTCTCTCCCTGGAAGATAGGTTGCTGCTCCTCCACCTAGACTCAAAGTTAAACAGGAAGGTAAGTCATAAGGGCATACCAGAGTATGCTTTCCTCCATACTTTCAGTGGTTTTGGGGTGGAATTGAGACTGGACTGCTGCATCTCCAGGTGTTGAAGAACTTATGTTAAAATACTCTGTTACAACTGTTGTGATCTCACCTAATCTGATTCTTTCCCTCTTATTTCTCCCTACATCTGTGTCATACCTTCCTTGGAAATTAGAACAAAATGACATATTTATAAATACAATCACAACGCCTTTGTACCCTGCGTTCTCAATACAATTCCAGGTATACAACAATCAGTACTTTGGAAAGAACTGGACTCTTAATTTCTTCATCTGGAACATGAGGATAATATAATGCAGCCTGTAGAGTTGGCGTGAGGGTTAAATGACCCAGTGGATATTAAGAACCTAACACAGAGCAGAAGCACAACTTCTTTCAAGAAATACTAGGTTTACAATGGGGAGGCGAGGAGGGGTTGAAGGGAGGTCAGGGAAAAGGGGAAAAAATGAGAACCAAGACCTGTCATGTAAAGGTACAAGATCCCAATAATGAGTGTAACTGTATTGTATACCTAAAATGTACCAATAAACTCAATAAAAAAGAAAATAAATAAAAAAGAAATACTAGGTTTCCTAACATTCCTTGTTTCTTAATCCAAACTGGGGCAAAGAAAGATTCATCTATCTGTGACAAACAAAAACAAAAAACAAGCCAGTGATGTTACAAGTCTACACTGGTCCCCTTGTGTTGTATTTCAAAGCATTTAATTCTCATAATTTAGCAGCTCTCAATTTACTGCATTTTAATGGGCAGATGTCTGCTGGTAGTTAAGCTGCTTCTAGCAAAGGCAGTCATAAAGGTACTGAACAGTGATGTACATGGACATTGTGTCCCTGCATGTGACAGCACCACAGCTGGCAGCAGGTGCACCATGCTTCATAAGCAATGGTCATGCCCTGCACCAAACTGCTGACCGCATTCTCAGGCTGAATGCAATGGTAGGGGTGGATTTTTCAAACATCTCCTAAGTCTCCAGTCTGTACATCTGAGACTCAAAGAGCTTCAAGAATAAGCATTTCTCTTCTTCTGAGTAACAGGGGCCGATGTGACCAGGGATATCTTAGACCCTGTTAGGATAGAAAAATGCTTGGATTCATGGAGTTGGGAACATTTTCCTAGGATCATGCAATCATGGGGACGTGGAAAAGGATACTTGCAGAACTGAGAAAGGGGAAAAGAGGTTGAATCTTGTCACTGATGTGGCTGTCACTACAGGTGCATTTGTATGACTTAAGTAATAACAGAAAAGAAAAAATTAGGGATTCTAGAATTGATATCCATGAAGTGTATATTTTCTCAGAAGCTCTGTTTTCAGATATGTATCATTATCCATCAGAAGGAGTAACAATGGGCCAAAAACAGAAAACCTTTTAATGCTCTGAAGAAATCAAATATTCTATCCATTATTCCATCAGTTAAATCTTATGCATCATAGACCTGAAAATTACTCAGTAACCAAGGCATTCATTTGCTTAGGTAAATGAATCAGAAAGGGGAATATTTCACTGTACTGCTGACATAACTAAACACTGTATCCTGATCCTGACTGTTCTGTAGATTGCAAGAAAGAAGAACTTTCACTCTTATTATGCCCTTCATTCACCTTTATCCCTTTACACTGGAAAAGTGAAGGCATTGCCAAGCTGATGACATTTGAGAATCAAAGAGTTTTAGAGTTGAAAGGCCCTGGGAGAGCATGAAACTCAATTGCTTCATTTTGTTCTTGCTGAACAGAGAAGTCAGAGAATCAAAATAATGATCCCAAGGTCATACATCTAAATAAAGGTCTTCGATGCCCCTGGGGGGTTGGAGAACAGTCATAAGGCTGATACCTTGGCAGTGACATTACAACCAGTAAAAGCAACCACTATTATTATATTTGCCCTTGTAGTCTAGAACTTCTGTTCTCACACCAATGACTTAATCTGAACAGACCCCAGTAAATCCAAAAACATTTATGAAGTGGTATATCCTGTTGCTCATATCCTATTTTCTACTTATTTCTTCTCTTTCTTTCCTATGATTATACCCTGAATCACTGTCAGGGAATTGGTAGATGGCAGTATACTATGAAGATTGTTTGTCTGTCCAACCCCTGTGCTGGACTTGAGCTCATAGAGGACAGGAAACACATCCTGTACAAAATTATGTCCTCATCAACCTGTTTACAGAATCCCTACATTAAGGCTGACATTCCAAAAGAAGAATCATAGTTTCACTTCCCATAGTTTTCTAGACCAAAACCCACATAAATTAAACTGACTTATGGTAAGAATGTATTGAGTATGCAGAAATTTTAACAATTTAACTTTGCTATTCTAACAGAGACATTAAACAAATTTGAATTTTTTATGATCATGTATTTCCTGCTATGTAGTCATCCAAACAAGAGATCAGTGGGGGGAAGGGAAGGGGTAAACAGAATCTGGATGGGTTTAGATAATGAGCTATCAGGACTGGATGAGATCAATTGAACTTTGTAAGAGAAAAAAATCAAAGAAAATGTCTAAGGGCACTGTTGATGCCATCTACTGAGATGGGAAAAACTAAAAGCAAATGAAGTTTGACATAGGGAGGAAGAATTCAAGATTTGTTTTTCACTGATACAATTAAGACACTTCAGATATATAAATGAAGATACCAAGTAGACAAATAAGGACATAAAAATCTGGCATAGCAGAAAGAGTTCCAGGCTAGAGATCCCAGGAAGAACTTTGATAATAAGGGCACCAAGGGGAATCTAAACACATAGAGGGGACCCAAAGAGAACACGTGGGACCGCCAACATTTAATAAGGTCATAGCATGAGTGTGTATATAAAAGAATGCCAGAGATTGTACAGAAACAAAGATAGATGCACTGTTTTTTCCTCAGTGATCTCAGAGTCCAAGTTGTATATATGGGAATGAAAGGTTCTTAATGTAATGGGAAATGTAAAAGATTAGGAGTCAAAACTTATGAATTCTAATTATTCTATCGCTACTCCAAGTTAAAGTGATGTTAACTTCTCAGGCTTGCTCATTCCTCACCTAATAAAATCAATGTTCAGTACAAGTAACATCAATGGTATTTGCTGACCCTACTATTTTTCAGTGTCATAACTATCTGTGTAGCGTCAAAATGACAATCCAGCCTCACTCATAGAAGATCTCACCCTTCCCAGGCAGAATCTGCTGCTGTAAGCATCCCAGGAGGTACACGTGAGATAGGTTGGCTGAATGGAAGTCCCTGACCAGAGAGGTGGAAGAGCTGCTGCCTGCACTCTTTTCCAGGTGATACAAGAGAAATTAAAATATCTGTATGCTTGGTTTTCAGCTGGTGTGCACATAAGAAAAATGGAATTACAGGCACCTAGGAGAATGGTGGGAAGATTTGCCCTTTCCATCATGTTTTCTTTTGTTTTGTAAAGTAATGTTCTCAAAAAGCAATCATGTTCCATGATCCTAGGAAATATTTTCTTTGAGCAGACAGCAGAAGTCACCAGGAAAAGGCAGGATGAAAAAACTTGAAGTGGTTTCATTTAACTTAGAGTCTATAACACTACATGGCCCTACAGTTCACGGTACCTACCTTGACTTGACCATGGAAGAACACTAAAGGAATATTTTAGTAATACAGATCCATAATGTGTTATATACTATATATAATAAATATAGTGTATAATGTCACATACATAATAATTATATGTGTACATTGTATGCTGTATAATGTATATAAGACTGGATGTACACAATACATATAATGTATATCATACATAACATACAATATTCATGTATATATACATTAAAATACATAGCACCAAGGAAGAAAAATTTACAGATTACAATATAATATTAAATGGGAACAGTTGGACACACAATTTTACCTGTAGCATGATTATAACTATATATAAGAAACTAAAATATGCAATACAGGGAAAAGACTATCAAAGCAACATCATGACTAATAATTTGTTTGAACACTAGGTGCTTTTTTCCTAACTCTTGCTACTTCCCTATACTTTTCAAATATTACTTAATATGTATGCATTTTTTTTACAGAATGTATTTTTTTCTGGCTATTAAAGGTTAAAGCCTGAAAGAGACCACAGTGGTCTAACTTCTTTGCTGTGTCCTCCAATGCTTGGGATTGTCTGGATTCCCTATGCTTTAAGGCAGGAAATCATTTGAATTTATAGGAGAAGGCAGATTAAAACAATAAAATCCAAGACATGATTTTTTTTCTGGAAAATGACCTAAGGTGTTCCACTAAAAATGCATCTCCCAAGAGGCTCAGACTTCTCACTTATTTCCAAAGAATTTGAAAAGTTAGCCTCTATCTGACCTCTTGGAGAGTGGCTGGTCTCGCATGAATATTTGTCCTAAGGGAACAAGACACACTTCAATAATAGAATATCTCTCTCATTATGTGCTATGCGCTGTATACTACCAGCCAGCCACTGTATATTACATGAGGACATCTCCCACATCACCATGAACATGAGCTCAAAATGGCTAGAATTAATAAATCAAGATTGGTAACTACATTTATAGCTACTTAGAACAGCCTCAGGTCATGCTGAAGGGAATCTAAATACAGTATCAAGTCAAGATGTCAAGATTTAGAATTTCTCATTCTCATATGTAGGAGGAGCACTCTTATTCAGGTAGGAGTAAAAGTCGTCCAATTTTATTGTAAAAGAAAGATAGTCATGCAAATTAATCCTCATCCCAGATACCTGTATATCCCCTAGTTTCCTTGCTTTATTATCCTACTTTTGTTAAAATCTTTGACCTGAGACTTCTTCCTCAGATGAAGCTAATTGTTTGGGTCTTGAGCACTTCCATCTAGTGTGGCCTGAGTCACGCCAAGTTCTGAGTTCCACTTTATAGTATCCCATTCATGCTTTCTCCATTATATGTACTGCCTCTTCCTAAAACTACCATATCTACTGTGGGACCACTGATACCAAGCAATTCACCCTCTATGAAGCTTCACTCTAGGACACAGTTCAGGGTAGGAAGGGCACACAGTCTCCAGAATTTTCTTAGGCTAATCACATTTAGTACAAACTATCAGCTCTAGGCTTAAGTTTAAAGAGTCTCAGAAAAAGAATGGTAAGTAAAGAGTCCAGATTGATGTCAGGGTAGGAGGTGAAGCATTCCCTAATCCAGACAAGATCATGTTCCTACATAAAAAGGATCAAACACTTTCTTCTTACCACTCTTCAAAAATGCCTATAGTGGATATTGAAGATCAGAGGTAAAAAGGTCATAGTTTTGTTAGAAATAGGACTCAAGAAAACTTGTATCTCCTCTTTTCTACCAGCAGACCTATGAGTGGCCACTACCTGTTTACCCTACAGACAATTTGCCCTACAATTTCCCTACAGACGTCCATTATAACATTGACCACACATTCAGCACCTCCCTCCCAAGGAAGATCACGTATCCTTTGATCAAAAGGAGGGTCTATGTTATGCCTGTTTATTGTTTATGTTTCCAGCACTGAACTTAGTGCCTGGAACATGCTACAGCCCCCATATATGTTTATGGCCCATATGAAAAATGAAGAAAAGGTACTCAAAAGTCTCTTCACTGAAGAACCAGTTTCAATAGAAAAAGCAATGTCATTGAAAAGCTCTATTTTCCTTGCTACCAGAGGGGAAACCCATCATTTTTATATTCCACTATACTGACTCATTTTGGACATGGTGTCTGGAACAATATAGGAGCAAAATACAATTAGTGGAGGAACAAAATAATCAGTTGAACCGTCTGGGATTTCAGCGACGTATAGATCAAATGTCTTAGATTTGCTAAGCTCATTCTCATTTGGCTAGAATGGATGATTCTTGGCTGCACTGTACCAAGAATAATTGTCCCTCATATATCCCCAATCAGCTGCCTTTTATTGACTAGTCAGAAGTGACAACATAAAAGGTGCAGTGACTTTCACTGTACTTGGCAAATTTTGGACCAACTCCCACTGATTTGCCCTTGGAATAGGTGAGCTCATAGACACGTTACACAGCTGCCTAGAAACTTTGCTCCCTGTCACAAACAACTACAAGGACGTTGAGTTAGAAGAAACTAAAAATGAAAAAGTGAAGCAAACTTTGGTCCTTATACTGCTTTTGCAGATAATGGAAGATCCACAATGGTTTATATCAAAATAGTCTCCTGCATCTCAGAGGGCAAATGACCTTTCTATCTCCCCACACCAGCACTAAGCTAGGCTACCCCACAAAGGCATTTGGAAAGAGTCCAGGCCCTTGACAGACTTATTAGCCCCATGTGACCTATTTTTAGTCCAGATGGCTGCCTTCTCAGCTCATCTACTGATTGGTACTGCTTTGAAAATTCAGTGAATATGCATTTAAAATCCATAAGCTACAAGAGAACTCACTTTTTCTCCTTCACTCTAGTGCCCTATGTCTTTTCTTGGTATGCAGTTCTCTAGAAAATTACCTCAAGTAGTAACACTGTTGACCCCATAAAACCTGTTTTGTTGACCCCATAAAACCTTCCCTTTTTAAAAACACTTTCTCACTGGTCTGCAGCACCTTCTCTAGACCTTATCCAAGAACTCTCCCCATTGCCAGACTTCTGATACTTGCATAATTTCTGGCTACTGATATTTCTTAGCAGTGAGAAATCTGTCCTCAAGATATTCTTCTGGTCTCAGAATCACCATGTTTTCCTCCTAGCAGAGCCTTATGTTGCTGCCTTGTATCACTTCTTGACTGCTTCTTACGCAGATGCTACCGCTCCTCAGCTAAATAAACAAGCTCCTTTGTGGCAGGAACTATGTGTATTACAGATGTGATATCATCAAAGCCCACATGTAGGTTTTCAGCAAATACTTGATAACTATATCCATTGATATAGTTCCATCGATAACTGTGTCCGTTCTTCTAAAATAGGAGCTGAAAACCCACAGACAGACAATTTGATTTTGTGTTCCTGGCATATAAAAAAATAGCCAAGCTGCAAGCAAGGTATGGCTCATAGTCTGGAATATCCTTGCCTTGATTTTGTCCCTTTACTAACTGTAATCTCTGCTTTTGGCCCAAACTGTAAATTCAGTGCCAATGAAGGATGGGAAATTCGTGAATGGAAAGGGGATCTGCCTTCCACCTTCTGGCTTGCTATAAAAGGTCAGCCTCCGGACTAAGAGGTCCTCTTTAGCCACCTCTCACACTGCCCTCTCTCTGTTCCATTAGAGACTTTGTTCTGAAAAAAACAAAACATCAAATCCATTCTGGATTCTGTCCAGTCCCTCAACTCTGCAGTGGTCTCTCACTTCTGTCCCCTTGGCACACCGTCCTTCCTAGTTAACCCACTCTTCTTTTTCATGCTAACTCCTACTCATATTTCAAGTCTTAACTTAGATATTCTTTGTAGATGCTTTGTCTGAACTGCTAATACTATCTTGGCTCCCTTTGGAAGGTCACTTTTCTATTTTAAATGATGATGATAATGACTGTATATAATAATCGCTAATATCTACTAAGCGCTCACTATATTTCCCCCTTTGAAATCACCTGATCACCATCACTATCTGCTGAGGCAGGTGCCTGACTACCTTCAGAGGAATTCATGTCTCAGAAACATTTATTGTCTTGAGATTCACATGACTCCATGAGGGCCAAATTTCTCCTTCATCGGGCCCCAGAGTTCATATTTGCAACCAATCCATCATTCAGCTTCTTACAAAGTTAATAGTGTTAGTAATTATTTGATTCCAGTAGGCCAGCAAACTCCATAAAGAACGGGATAGATAAGTCTTGTTCAATATTTGGTTTCTAAAGCCTTACCCAGGAGTGAGCACATGGAAGCACACGCTAAATAAATAAGTGAAACAGCTTGCTGGTAATCCCTTCTGAAGTCCCCAAAGAGATTATTCACCTTTTCTAAATGGAAGATACTTAGTCAAAGATGTATCACGAGCATAGGAGTGTTTATTCTAGTATCCCTCACTGCCACCCAACTCCAACCAAAGAAATCCAAGCATTCAGCCCAGGAAAGGGAACTTTTTGGAAATGAGTGAATCCAACAAAGCTTTCTTGGAGAAAGAAAAGCAAGGCTAGAGCAAAAGAGGTAGAAGGGTACCCCACGCAGACTCACCCCTCTCGCAGGTTCTGCCCCAGTACCCGGTGCCCGTGCAGTCGCAGATGAAGCGGTTCCAACCATCCTTGCACATGGCGTTGTTCTTGCAGGGGTAGCTGTCGCACTGCTTGGCGCTCATGCGGGAACAGGAGGACTTGACTCCGGCGGCATTCTGCATCTCCGCCAGCTGCCGGATATTCTTGCTGCGGCCGTCGATGAACAGGTCGCGGATGCAGCCCACGTAGCCGTAGTTAAGCATGGCTGTCCAGAGCTCGGTGGGGAGGATGAGGCCCGCACGATTCTCTGGCAGTCCACCCAGGTACATGTCCCCTTCCAGGTCCAGGATCTCGCTTTCCCCGCTGGCTGTGAAGGGCGTGCGCCTGCTGTTCACTGATATGGTACCTGGGGCGGAGGAGGGACCAGCAGTGTGAGTTAAGGGCGCGCCTTGCTCTCCTGTCTTCCCCTCTGTGACCTGATAACCTGTCGATGGAACTTAGCTAAGAGCCCTGCCAGTGCATATTTTGAACATTACCACTGATACATTTTAACAGCAACATGTTTCTTTATTCATTTAATAAGTTCATATCTCGGATAGTTCTAGGCAGAGAGATTGAGCTTGTCAGGTGCATCCATCCTTCTTCTCATTGAGCTGATGTTACAGAACAGCAACAAAAACAAAGGGCAACAACAACAAAAAATAAGCCCAATAAATAAGAGAAATTAGCGGGTGCCATGAAAGAGTAAGATGGGTGCCCTGGAAGCAGCCCAATAGCTCTATTTTAAATATGTAAATTCCCTAGGACGGATGCATGATGAGTGTGATCAATGTGTGTATCAAAAGAGTATCAATAGAATTAATTTTTTTAAAAAAAGAATAGAAAGAAAAGATGGAAACAGCTTTTGTATATAAGGAGGGAAGAAGAGTTGAAAGGAGAGGAGGGGAATGGGGGGAAAAAGAATCAAGATACACTATGTACAGGTACACGTTCTCTATATGAATGTGATCAGTAAGTACATTGAAAAAGCACCAATAGAACTAATTTTTTAAAAAGTATGCAGTCAGTGGAGGCCTCTCTAGGTGGCAGATACTTAAGCTGAAACTAGAATATTGAGAAAGATCCAGATTTGCAGATTCTAGGGGACAGAGGTGTGGAGCAAAGGGAGTAGCATCTACAAAGGCCCCAAGGAAGGAAAGGGTGAGGCCAGGGTGGAGGAGGCAAAGAGAGCCAACCAGCGACCAGGCAAGAGGGAGGCAGAAGAGGGCAGGGGCTGGATTATGATTCTAGAAAGCATAACTTCCATGCGACTGGAAAGTTAGGAACAGATTCTTGTCTTGAGAAAGGTCTAGGCTTCCTGACCCCGGGCCAGTCCCTGAACGACTTTATAGTCCAGTCTCCTAAAACTAAAATCAAGGAAACAGACTGGATAATATAGAAACATCCTTCCAGAAAAAATTTTAAAAAATATTTATGATTCTTAAAGTGCTTTAGGAGTAACAACGTAACCAGGCTTGTCATCCATCAGTCAGCCTTCATTCCTGGCTGAGCCCCCATTTCCTCCGCTACCAAGGGAGTAAGCACAAGAGCTGAGAAGATCAGAGGAGATCAAGACTGTGAAGCACACCCTAAATTACAAAGTCACCATCAGAATAGGAGAGGAAGGACACCAAGGGCCCTCCAGAGGAGGGACAGGGTTGAGCTGATACCCTGCTGCCCCAACTCTCCTGTGGGAGTTTTCTTGAAGAGAAATACGCTTTGCCTTTTCATGTATTTTCTCTTAATTTCTTAAAGCTTCAGAATCCTTCACCACAATAATAACTCTCTGGCTACCATTTTAAGTATTGTGTGTACTCTTGTGTATTTACTTATTTGCTTACTTAATTTTTGGTATAGAAATGATACTAAATGGGCCTCACAAAGAAGTACACATTTTATCACTGAGCCGCATCTGAGCCCATGTGTACCACTATTTAATTTGACCCTTGAAACAATCTTGAGAGGCAGGAGTATTATTCTCTCTATTATACAAGTGAAGAGGTTGAAGTTTGCGGCTTTTCACATCTTTTCTTGCACAATTCCCCTTCTTTACCCTCCACATGTGCACAGAACTAATCCGATCCCAAACTAACAAGGAGGGACATTTGTGTCCAGTAAGGACAGTGTTAGAACTGCTTGAAAATTTGGATCCTTAAATACATCCTAAGGAAAATCTGTCCTCTGAATGCGTGACCAAAATTCTTTTGAATGCTCTTATTGTTTTTCGGACTTACTCTCCTAAGCTGGGAGTGATTGGAAAAGTTTCTAGGTCATTTCTCAGTCATATTATCCTACAGGATGATCCAGAAAAAGATGTTACATTTAAATACTATGTGCTCATTTTTATAAAAATCAGTGTCTGTAAAAGTTTATAATGAAAAACAACACATCAGAAACTAGCCTCATGAAAAAAAACATGAAGGTTTAATGAATCACAGTAAAATGTTAAGTTACACTGCTTTCCTGGGACAATTATTTGTTTACTCAATAAATTTTTATAGGCTTTGATCAAATTCATCAGTACTTCAAAGCCAATGCTATATCTTACAGGTATGAAATTCTAGGCTTCTGAAATGCAAACATATTTATCAAATATGGGCCCACTAATAGTTCTAACAAAACAGAACAAAATAGCTACCCCACTAGAAAAAAAATGAATAGTGTTGGGAATAAATAGAAATAAACATATGGCAATTTTATGTGTTCTAGCCTATGTGTGATACCGATAAATAAATTTTAAGCTGTGTCAAGGTCTAGATTAGACACAAAACCTTTAACCATGACCTAACACATGGTCTTAAGCAAAAGTAGTATTTTTGTTTGTATTTCTTTGTTTTTCATAATTCTGAGACAGCTGTCTAGTTGATCCCTGTGGACAACAGAGAGAGAGAGAGAGAGAGAGAGAG